TGCTATGCCTGTCATTACTAGTAAAATAGCTTTAATACACAGATACATTGGCAGATTTCTAATATTAAGTTTTGTCTTCCCCTTTAAACCTCTCTGTTCCTTGACAATTCACAACTCTCCATAAGTGAAAAGCTTTCTTTTAGTTGCTAGCGAAATTATTCGATTTAAAATGCTCCTTCAACAGTAGTCCCATAAATTTAACTTTCCTTTCACTTTTGACGACAAACTGACTTAAGGGAAGTTTTGTTGAATGAAATCTGCTTCGTTTTTCAACAGAAAACTTTGTAGCTGCAGAGTAAAATAAATTGCTAGGATTTTGTCTCGCATACAACCCGCTGACCTCTGATCTTTACCTGTCCTTAGGCAAAGAAATTCTGAAACAGTTGCCACGTAACTTGTGCAAGGAAATGTAGTAAAATTACATTACTAAAGTAAATTACAGTTCGGCTGCACTGAATCTCCACTGGCAGTAGTTCTTGCCAACAAGGCCACTTAGTCGTTAATTAATTCATAATAAATAAGCAACTAATTACTAAATGATTATTAACAAGTTATTATTTTGTAAAACAACTAACCTTGCTGAGGGTAAGGTGCTGTCATAACCTGGTTGTAGGAAGGCGGAGCATATCCTGGGGGAGGTACAGTACCAGGGGGAGGGGGTGCACCATATCCTGCAGGAGGCGGTGGTCCATAACCAGGTTGAGAGGGTGGGGGTGGGTAATGTACTCCAACTTGCGGAGGAGGCATTTGAGCTTGTGTAGTCATCGCATGTTGTCCTGCTGCAGCCTGACGCATGGCAAGTCTCCGTCGATACACAAACACGTAGTAAATACAGCCAGCAATAACCGCCAGAATTATGATCCCAACAACAATGCCAGTTATAGTGCTAGTGGTGGAGCTGCTTTCTGTTTAAAAGAGGACAAAGTTATAATGATATTACATGAAATGTAATAGCTAAATGAACCACGTTAACTGACTCATATCGGCAACGGGTAATGATCAGGGCTACCACCTTCCCCCAATTTATTTATGAAACAATCATTATATATTTTGCATCCTTATCAAAACAAAGCTGTGAATAACAGCAAATAGGGACTTTAAGATCCCACGAGGCAACCGAAACGAGAACGTAAAAAAAAAGAGGTTTAATAAGCACAACAACTTCGCACGTGCCACACTTTTTTGTACATTTCTTTGCCGTTTTTGAACCACTACGACGTGAAACTGCCTAATTTCGCGTTTTATGGAGAACGTAAACGAGTAACGACGAAATTCTATTTCTCTTTCTGAACTTCAGGAGGGTTCGCCTTGATTTGGCAAAGTAAGTGGGTAGAATAATCCGATAAAGACTGAAAGAACGCAAATTCACTTTTTAAGCGACGTTTTCGTTGCCGTCGCGTTGTTGGATGTTAAAGTCCCTAACGTCACTGATGACGGGATCTGTAAGATCTGCATAACTTTCAAGAAACTGTTGGTGATAAAGGATATTTCTTTGTAATTATTTATTTCTCTGTAATCAGATATATTTTTCTAGCTTGTCATCTATCTATGTGTGTGTTTATCTTGTACCCTATCCTAGAGTAAACTGCTTGAAAACCATACCCTTCACAGCGGCACATACCTATACAGCCCATTTATGACAGTACCCCCCCTCTCTGGGACAATAACCAGTAAGGAAAGAAAAACTACTTAATGTAAGGTTATTCAAACATTGCGTCCTTTAAAATAATAAAGGTAAGATTGAATTGAATCTCTGGTTTAAAATTTTCCCTTTGTGTCAAACTCATTATCATACATGTACACAACTTATTGTAAATCAAGGACAAGACTAAACCACAACAACCCTGACTGATTCTCAAGGTCTTGTCAAACATTACATTAATTTGTCACCCTTTTTTATCTGATAGAATGTTCTCCTTTCTTCTAACAAAGAATCTCTATTAAAAGTGATATTATTATCATATGTGCGGGACCTACTTGAGTCCTTGTAAAGGACATAACCAGCAACAAAACCACGTTCTCGATTATAGCCGTTGGATTTAAATCTGATCCAGATTCTATCATATGATGAGGTAAAAGAGAATGGACTCTTCGAACCACACATTGAGTTTCTAACAGTGGTGGATGAATCATATGACCTGGAACTGCTCGCCCCTGTAAAAACAACACCCACAAGAATGTCATGCAATAGTATAGGAGGAACACTACTATTAATTTCATGTTACTGTGAAAACCATTAGACTGTTCACAGTCCCTTATTTTCCTGTAATATCATCAAGATCAAGTGCTTTGTGTCATGGGTGGCCATGTTAGATGAGTGTCAAATCTGTACTTTAGGAGGCGGCGGTCGGTTTGGGAGGATTAGGGTTATGGTTTCCTCCCCACCCCCTCAGTACATTTGAAACCAAGATGGCCGCCATTCATTCATTCATTTAAAGGCAATCACATTAACTTGCTACTACAGACAAAACCTCTCACTAAACTGTCCTCAATTCAGTCATTTCTCTGGTAAGGGACCACTCTTTTGGTGCACGATAAAGTGATTGCTTACAGAACGTGGCCGTCCAAGGGAAAACTCAAGAGAAAATAAACTCAAACCGAACTTGTGGGCAACAAAAGGAGCTCGCAGACTAATCTTGGTCAACGGTACTTTATTAACTGTATAATGAGGATTTTCCCAAATCTGTCCACATTCTGGGGATGCCCATGTTGTACCAACTAATATGCATGGTAAGTGGCCATGGAGGCCCTGGTGTTGAGTTTAAGGTCCGTCTGATGTCACGGTAATCAGGTGAATTCACATGCAAGTTGTACAACAATCATTATAATTATTTAATTCAGAAGCACACGCAATTCAGGTACACAACTGTACTACACGATAGACTTTTTGGTTCGCCTTGCTGGCTGGGAACCCCTTGGGGTATTTGTTAAACATCACAAAAATAGATAAATGAATGACTTTCCTGTGGTAGCGATGTGATTGTGTTACGGGTTTGGGGGGCTTATATTTGGAGGGGCTTATACATGGAGGGCCTTATTTTTGGATTTTTATGAAGAACTCCAAAACTAGCAAATAAAATAACAAGTTAATCACGTAATTAATAATTTTTATAAAATAACTGAGAAAGTACGCGCGATCTGATTGGTCAAAAACCTATGGTTTATTATACCGGTAAACCCATAGAAAACGGCATCCACACCACAAGCCATAAACAAAACCAGCTATTGATCTGGAAACAACGATTTTAGAAAGGCTCAAAAACAGAACAAGTTACTTACCCAGCCCTTCTTAATATTAAAGAGTGTTGGTTTCCACATTTTATTACTGAGCGTCACAATTTGCTACTGCCATAGTTTTAGAAGTTATAAAGTACAAAGCTGGAAAGCAGCCTACATTTCACAGCGATGCCAAATTGCAGAGAAAGACAACAGCTGTGTGAATTTCTAGAGTAGAAAGTCTCTAGGAAAATTTAACCATGTGCAACAAAACGGATAGTTTTAGCATTCTTGAATGTCAAAATTAAATTCCTGAATGAAAGAAATTGTTCCGAAGAGAGATCTGACCAAGTTCAGTTACAAAATCGGTTGCTGCAGGTTGTAAACAAGCTGTAAACGATGATGAAATAAATATGTCACAGTTTCACACTGGTTTTTTCCCAACATTTGCACAAATCATTTGGTAATATCGATGCTATAACCTTCTTCAAACCACCAGACTTCACAAATCATCAAATATTAATGCCAATACGTGGCTACGGCAAAGAAACCTTTCTCCAGATTTAGGGCTACCAGTGACACATTTTCATCGGTCACAGTACATACATAAGTTAAATGCGCAAATGCAGTAACGTCATTATCGCAGCATTTCTTGATCACGAAAAAGTCCAGAAAACAGATCTTAAACCACTGTAGCTTGTGAAAAGTGAATGAAGTCCTCCATTACAATAGCGGCCAGTTCCGTCTGTAAGCGCAAAATTACAGATCAACTCAACAAAATACAGCTGCGTACAGTTGGATGTTCAATTTTCTACTTCTGTAGTAAACAAACCACGAACGTATTCTTTCATTGTACGTTCACATGAATATGTGTTGACTTTTCCTGTAAAACAGCTTTCATAAGTTATCGTGTAATGAGTGCAAAAACTCGTGTTTTGAAGTGCTGCTGTTAGTTGTTTGCCTGAACTGAGTTTTGAGAAAGTGTGGCGCTATGTTGTGCAGATGTAGCCACACCCTCCCCCGGACAAAGGGTGCCGCTACACATATGCTACAGATTTGCAAATAGACACCAAATCCATAGACACCAAATTGCAGGATCCGAAATTAACTTTTTAATACGGGCGACAGCTGGCGATCAATCACCCTGTCACTTGGACTGCGTTACTGAAATGCAAAGGCTACGCGGTACGTAGATCGATCACCTTTCAAGTTGCAACTGGGAAGTTTTGAACACATTAACAGAGGATGAGTGAAGTGCCGCTCTCATATTACACCAACTGAGGATTATACAGAAGGATTGAAGGCCCTAAAGACAACTGGAAATGGTAATTGTCTTTACAATTCCGCTTCAGTATTGATTCAAGAAGATGAATCTGCAAATCTTGTTCGCAGACTATCAGTAAATAATGCCTTGCACAATAAATGAGTAATTTATAAACAGTGCTGCATGTTAAGTTAAACTTGCTACCTGCTTTTGTTAAAGACAATTTTTGATATAATTTGGCGCCTCCAAAGAGTTGGTCGCCAAATGGCCACTGAACAAAAATTTTAACTTTGAGGGTTGAATTTTCTTAAATTTTGTTGTTAGTATAGGTAATAGCATGATTTATATACCATGAGTGATATTTTGAAATTGTTGTACTTAATTTCACGAGCCGTTAGGCGAGTGAGATTTGAGACAATTTTGAAATACCACGAGTGGTATTTATGCCAAATATCACGTACAAATCATGCTATTATTTGTTTATACTACAACCCGCAAAAGGTTTGTAATTTTCACATGTAGGTATTTCAAATTAAGCTGAAATACCACTGCTCTAAGCCAATCAGATTGCAGAAATTTCTCATGTAGTAGTATAACATCAGAAACTCACAAGGGGTTCAAACGTGTAACTTGCGTTCAATGCCCATGAATATTCACTTTTACCATGTTTGGAAACCTTAGTGAAGGATATCCATTTTCAACAAAATAGCTGCCACACCATCACCATGCGATGGTTTTAAGACCAGAGTTCTGCATTTCAAGGTTAAAAATATACCGTTAAAAGACAAAAAATAGAAAGAGAAAGTTCAAAAGAATGCTCAGTTTTCTTTTTGTGGAGGAAGGGAAGCTTTCAAACAAGAAATCGTCCTTTGAGGAATTACGTCACGTTGTTTACGAAGTTTGATAGGCCAGCCATCTTTTCTTTTCTTTCCAAATATGGTACTTTCGAAATGAATAATCACGAGCATTGGGCAAAGCAAACATATGAGAGTTATACATTTCAACCCCTTATGAGTTTCTATTTTCATTTCTTTGCACCCTGCCTCCCCTCCATCTGATAAAAATAAAGCAACCTTAGTATGCCACCTATTTTTTTAAGACAACTAATATTATAAATACCAGTTATTGTTAACAAAGCTGTCCTTTTATTTTCTCACCTTTTACTTTAACTTTGTCATCATCACATCCAATATCATCGTCCAGATCAAAGTCCATGAAAGCAATTTTAATTCTCTTGCCGTTTCCAACTTCAATCTTCCAATAACAGTCTTGATAAAATGAAGAACCTTGGGGCCAATTTCTGGAATTCATGATTCCAGAATTTGAAGACAATGTCTTAGGAAAATACTTTGTATAGCAAAAGCCTGAAAAATAATACAGAAAATGAGAAATGAATCAATAATAAACAATTGAGAAGTGATAAATTTATCAAAAACAGAGAATCAATAAATAATGTCATAAATTTTAAATATATTCTTAACCATTCAAATGCATTGCCCACAAATTTTTACAACCCCTAAAAATCATTTGACCGAACATACATGACATTGTAGTTTTCATGGAATGGAATTAAAACCTCCATCATATTCCATAGTCAAAAACAACCTTGGAAAAAAGTTTTTAAACATCACTGATCATGAGATAATGCTTCACCAAGAACCAGCAGCTACATGACTGTATAGTACAATTCTCAATAGACACATCTACTTCCTCTACTTCGTTTATCACAGAAACTCGTATTAACTGGACATCAATGCCGCTGTCACAACATTGCCTTGTCTATTATTGTCTTCCTCATCTCACAAAACCCCTGAATCCTATCATCTATATATACCAATATTAAACTTTCTGCAAATAAAGCATAATACTAAAGAGTCCGGGAGCTGCAAGATACAACAAAGGAGCAACTTATTGATTCAAACGATTTCACCACTTCTGATTGACTCTGAACCCCTCACTAATTCTTTCTACAAGTAAATACAGCCTGCACTTATCATAATTATTTAGAAGCTGGTTTCACTGATAATGGGCTTCACCTACACTTTACCAAACCTGCCAAAAAGGAGATTAAACAGTGTCTGATCTAGGATTTCCAGCTAGGGGAACTATGTGTCCCTCAACAATTTTCAGAGGAACATTTCGTTTTTTGGGGGTCACTATATTTTTTTTATTCTAACGTACCGGGTGTTATGTTATCAACAAGTGCAATATGTTCAAGAGTGAATTGAACACACAGTCATTATCTAGAGGAAAAGTAAAATAAGTTTATTCATGTGAGATTGATTTGAGATTTGATTTTTGGCAAAGTGAACAAAACATTTAGCCATTTGTACTTCTCTAGCCAGCTCTGTTGAAAGTTTCACTTTGGCAACTTCGAGTTCAGTTCACTTGATTTATCATTCTCAGGCTCAGCTTCATCATTTGCCGTGGACGTTTCTGCAGTTTCTTCTTTGTGTTGTTGCTCAAAAAATGCTGAAAGTCTTCTTTGTTTTGACATCACTTTGCATTAACGCACATCAAGAGAGGGGCTCTCAATTAAGCACATGGATCTACATAATCTATCCCCCTATGGCTTTAGTTCAAACTAGTGCTCGGGAACATCGGAAAATTGAGCCTTCTATGTATGTCATTCTCTGGATTTTGGCTCTCGCTTTGCTTTTAATCCTATGAAATTTAAACCAAAATATTGTTTTAAGAAGATTTTGCACTTGGAGAAATTACATTTCCTTCTTTATTTTTCTTTCAAAGCACAATTTGAAGTGCGCCAAAATGACCCAGAAGAGGTATTTGAAGGGGACATCTTTGCTCAAACTGCAGCAATCCTGAAAGGGCGCCCTCTAGATCAGACACTCTTAAATAAGACATTTATTGTTTACAGAAAATTCCTCACTCATATGGTTCTAACTCAAATAATCAATATGATGTGAATAAAATATTAAATCAGAAATTGAACAAATCTCTACAAGTCTGTCACTTAATATGGCTATCCTCAGCTGGCAGAACCTGAACCAAATGGCTTTAATACACAAGCACAAAAAAGTACTCTGCAAACTGAATATCTACTGCAAAATAAGATTTCATAATTACTTTGGCACGCTCTGACATTCCATATGAGGTAAATGACATCATATAAATGTGGTAAAGGAGGTCTCCAGAAAAGTTAATTTGAACCCAACTACAACTAAATACATAAGGACATACATACATGTAATGGTACTTCTCTCCTAAATAAACTATTAGAGCTGGTTACCAAGTGTCATCACAAAAGCAAGTTCTTCACAACTCCAATTTAAATTTTCTCCAACCATCCATAAATTTTTTATTTCCGACTTTAAACTGAAATCTGTTTTTAGAACTTTTACTCTAATGATCGCTTAGCACGTGAAACTCTGAGTTACCACTTATTTTCATCCTTGGCATTTTTTGTACAGTCATGAATGATATATTATTATTAATTCCGTACTGACAGAATACCATCTGTGATGTCAAGTTTACCAAATGTCTTATCTCAATTCCACCATTTCATGTAGTTAAGGAGTAGATACATGTACATACCCGGAGAAGACGTGTAGATTCTAGAATATGAGGCTTTGAATCCTTTTCCACTTCCAGAGCTATCACTTTTAAACTTAATACGCAAGCAGTTATCTGGTGAGTAGATATCATGGGGCTTGTAGCTGTTGTCAGAGCAATATCTTCCAATGGACTTTCGGCGGCATCCAATGTAAATCTCCACGTAATCATCATTGCAGTTGGGCATATCACCCTTAACATCAAATGTAGTCCATGTCAGCTTAACCGCAGACCCAGAACTAACTTTAATGTCGAGTTGGCAATTCTGGTTATTGGCATAACTTGACCTACTGTCATAGTCTGGTGATGTTATTGTTCCAAATGAACCATAAAATGTCTTATCACAAAAAGCTGCAAAAGATAACAAGATGCATGTAAATAATGAGCAAATATTATTCACAACTTCTGATATTAAACAATAGTTCAATACACACATTCATGGCCTTATTTGATCACTAGCAGCGTAAAAAGTAATTTACACATTGTAAGGAGTCTTGCTTAAGTTTGTAACAAGATTGATAAAGGCCCTAATTCCAGCTACATGTGGTCATTAATGTGTGTTACAAAACTGCCATGCTGAACAGCAAGAGAGACAGTGGGACCAGAAAAAAATGAAAAGGAAATTATCATTTTCGAAACAACTATTAAACCTCCAAGACACCATCAGGGTACCAGCAAGTGTCTGCTTAATAGAAGTTCAGGCCCGTCAAAAGAGGTCCATCACAAATTACATGTACATAGTATATTAATCTCTAATTAACAAAAATTTAATAAATAACTAATCTTGAACGGCGTTAGCCGACGGAAGTTTCATGGAAAAGGCATTAAATTAATGACTTTTTGCAAAGATTACGTAATCATCATGAGTGGTGTAGTGGTACCCTTTTCTTTTTAACTTGTGGATTACGCATAGTGTAACGAACAAGTTATTGTGGGCACTACGTTATGCAAATGCATCACTCAGGTGTGGACATCTTCATAATAATATTAGTCGGCTCAACACGAAAGCACCCAACATCAAACAACAACTGTCGCAGATCGATCATTCCCGTTCCACGATCAAGACCTGCGGAGCAGGCATTGGGCCCATAGCTTTTGATGTTATGATGTTGTACCTTTCACAGGACGACAAGTTGTCTTCATGTGGACTTTGAATGTTTCAAATTAGCACTATGGTCAACTCTGAGACAAGTTTATGAACTTTAGAAGCGTTTTTACTCGTCCAGACGATAATGACGAAAAGATCAGCAATTGCTCTTTGACTCTCAAGCTGGTCCAAGCTCACAATTCTGCAATGAGTCTCATGATTTTTTTCAAACTTTAATTCTCATGACAAGCTTAAGGCTCCCAATCTCATGGTTTTTAGGGAAATATCATTCTGAAATGAAATGTCTCTTTGTTCGATAAAAACGGAAATGTTTACTTTTGCTGAATCATAATTGATTCTCCTCATGTAAACACCGAGAATCGCATGCTGCTAGAGACTTCGTGACCGTTTCGCAAGACACTTGTCAGCCATATGTTCTTTAAATATGACAAAATGAGTCAAAGTACGGCTTTCACTGTCAAAACCAAAATTGTTTTCCTCAAATATATCTTTTAATTCTTCATAAATAAAGTTCTAGAAGCTTTAACAGCATCGACCAGCAGAATTTCATGGGCAAAAGTGTTAAAGATGATTAATTTAACGGGGATTTTCAATACTAGTTGTCGTGGCACAATAGATAACATGTTAACCTTCCACGCCGGAGGCCTGGGGTTCAACTCATGCTGTTGGAAATGTTTTTTTTTCTTTTTTTTGGTCCTTTTGTTGTTGTAGGTTTTTTTTCTTGTAAAACATATTTTCATATTTTGACAGACTTAAAATATACTGGTAGACTTATTGCAGGTTTTATTTCTACAAGTTACTCTTAGGTACCTTTTGATTTTCCCTCTGTCTTTTTTTTTTTTTCGTTTTTGGATTATACATTCCTTTTCTACTGCAATATATATTCTACAAAATTAGAACAGTAGCCACTTGCAGTCACAGACTGCCTTTTATTAGTCTTGTCCAAGTGAATCCCTTGCTCTCCAGCAAAGAGCATTGCAGTCTTGGATCATGTGAATGACTAGCTGCAAAGGGCTCATTTCCTTTGTCTCCTCTATTGTGGACCTTATTCATGAATACAATCATGTAACTGTCTTGTCACATGTGTACTGAGCAAATCAGAGTACAATAAAGGAACTTTTAGTTGTTACTCTGAGTAATACATATCAAATGCAACAAATCTGGGGCCTTACATGTCTGTCCCACACAAGATGAAAAGGATTGAGTGAGTGAGTGATGCAACAAATCTACAGTCTTCAAACAAATGAATGAGTATGACCTGTTCCAGGTAGAGACCCCCTGTGGTCACACTCTTGAAAGCAATGATAACATGGGAGGTTTCAGGGCTCGTGGAGCAGTTTTCTAAGTACGGGGGCCGATCCACCTCTATTAAAGTGTAGGGGGGGGGAGTGGGGGTTGTGGGGTTGTGGACTTTTAAAATGGTTTACCTGGTGCTGACTCAATATTTTTTTAATACAGTTACAACTCATCAATCATTTGATAGTTTAACAAACGAAAAAGGGGTTAGTAACAAAAAAAGTGTAACCACTCACAGCAGCATCATAATTTTTACGTGTTTCATTTACTTTCAAAGTTTGTCCGTTCTCTCCTTGCGGCTGTTTAGAACCTTTTTTTAACCATTGTTGAACGGAGCCATGTTTTTAACCTTCGAGCTGCCGAAAAGGCCTCTTTCTCCTGCGATGGTTGCAGGATTTACCAGCAGAAGCTTGCAAATCAGGACAAATTTATTTATCATGCTCTGCTGAGGAAATTCCTGAAACTTCTTTGTGTTGTCTACAATGTCATCGAGTTCAATTTGTTTTAAGAAATCATAGCTCTGTGGAGATTTAAGAACCTCAATAAAAAAAGAGTCCATTTCTTGTGCGTATACTACATCACCTGGCAGGTGAAAGAGCAGAAGTCCAAGACTAAGTGCAGTTTTGTAGAGATAATCGTTCGAAACGGACCAATCATAAATTTGGACGCTTCGGCGAGGTCTGCCAGTCTAATATTCTTATTCCATCAAAGATTCCTTTCCCTAGAAAATGTGTATTTCTTAATTTTTTTCCCCCAAAAAGCGGGGGCCCCTGGCCCCCCAGCCCCTCCCCCCGCACCAGCCCTGGCTGTCTACACAGACAAAGCAAGAACAGAGGAAGGGGAAAGCTTTAACTTGTTTCAGAGACTGCCGATCTGCATGATGTTTTGAATGTTATTTTGTCCAGATTATGTAAAACTAGTTCTTTTAAACTGACACAAAAATCTAACCCTAGAGCAAAAATTTATTTTCAGAAAGTAAAGTGCATGTTTCCATTATTGAGGACTCCTCTGAGGAGGTATTAGCAGTATACTTTTTATGGGACAAACGCTTACAGTTCTGTTACTACAGTGTAAGTTCCTCACCTCCAAAAACAATCTCTAATAAAGACAGCCCTGAAAACAAATAAATAAGTGACAAAATAAATAAGTAAATAAAACTTATAATGATTTTGTCATATTCAAGTTGATACATTTAAAATATGGTAAGATTTCCCTATAACTAAACTATCACTGTTAATTTTATGAAATCAGTGTTCAGAGGCTTATTGGTCCATGAAAGAATGTGTTCTATTGTTTCAGTGGTTTGCATGATTATTGGAAAAAAGCGATGTTTACAAATATAGCTAAATTAGGTGACTCAGCATCATTCTTTTCCTTGTATGTGGGCGGAACTCTACTTTACTTACGTACAAGAAATATATCAAATATCCTCGATATTTGGTCACGTTTTAAAAAAGGCAATGGTGTTGTCCATAACAGAAAAAAAATAACGTGAAAATTAACCTAAGAAGTTAATTAAATGGTAAATGCACCTATTAGAAGTCGGAGAAGCATCGCTATTTGTCGAATCTTCATGCCTAATCTGTAAGGGAAAAAATTACATCGAAACGATGTAAGCATACAACTATGACACGCTAACACCTGCACACGATCAGGGAAGAAACCTTGATTTTACGATAACTGATGTCCTTCAACAAAACACCGCATGGTGGTCAGAATCACCCTTTCTACTATTAATTTGAAGAATATTGTATATTCTAAGGTCGTCGCCAGCTGCCAGTGGCTTTAAAATGCATGCATATACAGGTGCAATTCTCACACTCAAAAAAGGATTATAAACAACTGAAACATTACGAGACCGACGAATCGGTTCTAGAATTTCCTCATTCAACAATAGACAAGAGTTAATTTGGTCGTCATGACGGAAAACTGCTCTAAACGTAAGCTTAACCAAGCTCATAAGCTCAACTTGTTTCATGCTTGTTTGAAAATTACAAAGTCATACACATGAAATTCATTTAATTGCGTCACCGACAACTCCTACCTATAAGACTGACAAGCTGAAGACAAAGCTAAACTCTCTTAAATATAAGCTTGTATGTGGCGAAATCTTACGTTTTTTAGCCTTTCGGCCTTTGTTGGAATCTTTCTATAACAGCTGCAGAACGGAAGAAAGCTAAATCACCAGCTCACGCAAGTGTTCAAGTATTCAAACCATAAAAAAATATCATTCACAAACGATACCTTCTTTGACCTCGTTTATGGATTCGTTTTCTTTTCTCTGATGTAAGGTTTCACCTGACCATCCCGAATCACTCAACCCAAACAATGCAATGACAAAGTGTTCAGCGAACGGAAAATTATACCTTTAGAAAGGCACACGGCTTAAGCGCACGGCCTGCTGGGAATGTTCAGGCGAGTGCCAGCTAGAAAACTGGATCTAGTTCATTATTGTTGTTCCCAGTCTTTCTCGTCTTTTATGGGAGACGGTTACAAAATGGCGGACAAAATGAATTTCTGTACTGGATCTCGTGCATTTTCTTGAAAAATCCCAATAGATTGGACCTGCAATCCGATTTCCGCGCGTGATTTGAATGCTGTCACAAAAAAAGGCTTGTTTTTCGGTAAATTTCCTGATTGTCTTTGATGGAATCCAATGGCGTCCTCAAATTCGGCGACTCCTTTACCAGGTCATGAAAAAACGTCAAAAGCGGCCACCGGTAGTGATGGTAAGGAGGAAACTTTAACGGGCAGAAGCAGTTGCTCGACTCATCTGCACTCTTCAAACTCAAACATACCCGAAATTCCCGATATACCGTCGCCTCTGCTACGCCCTCCGAAAGTTAAGAGTGCTGCTGTATTAGCCAGTAAGTATAATAATGCTCTACACGGTTCTGCGTCTTTGAAATGTGTTATCCAATATCTTATAAACTACACTGCGTAGAAACCTTAGGCGTGTATGACTATGCAGTTGCAGTTTTCTTACATTTTATAACCATACACTAATTCAATTCTCTTGGCTACATCCCAGCTACATATGCAACTCACCACACTCAATTTCATTTTGATTCTTTGTCTTTGCTGTCAAACTTAGAAAACCGTGGAGCCCTGAAAAATTTCAGGAATGTTGATTGTGTACTGGCCAATCAAAATAAAGTTCACGATATGCAAGCAAACCTCAAAACCACAAACCAATTGATAATAATAATAATTCTTTATTGATATAAATAAGTACACAAATTACTGTTTACAATTACCGTTGCTGTTTGCGGTTTAGTTGTCTTGCGCCTTATTGGCTTATTTCTCACAACACAATAACATTCTATAAATATTTCTGGTGTCCACGGTTTTGTGAATTTGACAGTAAAATGTGTTTGCCAAAGGTTAAAGTATATTCTTTGACTTTATATTTCATTTTCACCACCTACCATTAATTTTATACAGTAGCCTGTGTACAGATCCCCCCTACCCTCAAAAAAAAAAAAGGGTGAGAAAAATTTTATCCTTTCATGTTAACTTTTCCAAACTTGAATCTTACAAATTAAAACTTGACTGGTTCTCTGTTAATTATCAAATCTGGTTTTAACAGCCACACAGAAACAAACTGCTTCTCCTGAACAGATCAAGAACAAGGAATCTCATGAAAACCTTGACAGCGTAATAAGAAGTCAAGTTGGCAGACAAGTAGACAGAGTGTTTGTATGTACCGGAAAAATTGATAAGTTAAAAAATACTCCCTTACAAATTATAATGACAAGATCTTGATGTACATGTAGGACCCTTCTATCACAGCTGTTCTGTGTATTGTCAATGGTAATTAATTGTTGTTCTGCTTGTTTTTGGGTATGGTAATTTGCCATTTGAGAAACAAGAAGGGAACCAGAGTTTGGGAACCAAAATTTAAGACCAAGACTTAAAAAAAAATTTCTCCGGAAGACGAAACAGAAAGAAAAAATGACAAATAGAAATCCGGGACCCGTCAGCAAAAAGAATTTGAACCTCCGAGACCCATCAATAATGCTTCCAAGATTTCGAGATCGGGCCAAAATTTTTCAAAGAACCATTCTATACCCCTAAATGCATTCTGCAATAACACTGATACTAGGGTTCTAGAGACTCGCTGGTCAGCTATGGGCCATTTTTTCCCTGTTCCTGGTAACAGTCCCAAAAGAATTTAAAAGTTGGCCTACACATAGTTTCCTTCTTGTTTCTAAAGTGGTGAATGTATGATTATAATCAGTTCGAAACAAAGTGGTAGGAAATTATAACCAAGTATAAAATAAAATCACAACAAAATGAATTTTTTTTTTAGTTGCCTAGTGTATTGTCTTTACCTGGCCCCAGGTGTTCAAAAGCTGCATGGATAGTGCTATCCATCGGATATATCACCATCAAGCAGTCTGATAAGTATTAGGGAACGCAATTGCACCTTTCACTGAATAGAGATATTTATCCCAAGGCTGATGCCTAAGAAAACTTTTTGGGCCCTTCAGGCTCCTCAAATAAAAAGTTAGGAGCCCAAGCCACATTTCTAGGAGCCCATTGATAGATAACCTTAAATAAGTAAGCAGATACTCGAAACTCAATTCACGAGTCTCAAAATTCAATTTGTTCGAGTTTTGAATTTGTTTGTCTACCTTTAGCAGCAGAATTTTTTTCCCTACGGTCAACGAACACACATTTTACGTTTTCTTTTCAAAAGAGCAAAATGAGGCAGGGAATTCTGTCCCTCTTTCATTGGAAGTAGGCATAGAGGCTATTGCGATAAGATTCATAAGTTTAAGTACGTGTGCAGGCTCCTTGTTAAAATTTAAGTGTCCCACGAGGAAATTGTAGGAGCCTGTTAGGCTACACTTTTGTATCCGGTGGATTAAGTGCTATCCACCTTTAAACAACTGGGACCTGATGTATTGTAGTCTAATGATTATTATTTTGTAGTCTATGTATGTGATTTATGTGGTTTATTTTCTTTTATTTCTTTGTTCAATCCACTGCAGTCTGATGCTGTCAAAGATTTTCAAGGTCAACTAATATCAAAGGCTAAGGAGGTTGACCAACTCAGGGTAGACCTTCAAAATATGGAGGTATTTTAATATTTTATAATACAATGTACATTTCTCACACCTTCAGCAAAGTTTTGTTTTGCACTATGAGGATTTTTCTTATTAATTACTACATTAGGATGCTAATTAGTTTTATTTTTCTATAATATGATAATAATTGTATTATATAGAAAAAAAAACAATTATTATTGATTGGGAGAACAAGTTTGATCATTTAGTTCCTAAAATGTTACTGTACATGTATTAAATGAGGAAACTGACACCTTTCTCTTAATGTCCACTCAACACTATTTAAGAAAAATTATTTGCATGACTTCATATATGTTATTAATCATAAACAGCAAATTATTTCTGACAGCTTTATTGACCAGACACTTTTGAACTTTCAGTTCAAAAGTGTCTGGTCAACACAATGACACCGAAACGTCATTTCATTTTATCTGCGTTTTTTTTTAAACTTGTTTTTGTATTATGCTCAATGTCAAGTCTATTACAACATTATTAAAAGTGGCTTATAACCCTGCTTATAATAATATAAGTAAATTTTTAACATAGACAAAATAACGTTTAATTTTCTTATTTATAAAATTTTGCAGCTCAGGGATGAAGAGATGTTTTCTAGATTTTTAAAAAAACCAGGATCACCAGTTAGGACTACTTTCTCTACTAGTCAATTGTAAGTAATCAATCCTGTATTTCACACTCGTACCTTTTAACTGTAGACTGGGAGAAAAACTACATGTTGTTGTTGTTGTTGTTGTTGTTTTTAACTTGGTACATTTTGCACCTTTAAGAGAAATGGGGCAATTGCATGATTCATGACAAGAAGAAAGCAAACACCAAATTAATTCTCAACTCACCTGTAGAGGTTCAACTGCAGGTTTACAGTTTGAAGAACTTAGTCTGTTTATGGCGCTCTTTTTTACTTGTTTGTTTGATAGATGTAAAAACATGCGCAAGCTCACACTTTCTTCAGTCGCTTGCAACCAGAAAGTAGAAAGGCTTTTGTCCAGTCTAAAAAAGTTCTGAATGAGTTTATCTTTATAATATTATATTAATTTCTCTATTAGATATTATTATACACCAATGTATTAAATTAATAATAGTTATTATAACATCCTCTGTCAGGAATTTTACACATGCTCATTAATTGTGCAAATAAGAGTAAACTCCAAGCAATTTTAACTTTAAAATCTGTAAGTACAATGATATAGAATTTAGGACAACCTTTCGAAGCAAGTTGTTGTGCTGCAGTAAACAAGGACATGGAGAAAATTTGAAGCTGTAGATGAAAAAAAAGGCTTAATAGTCAAAAAATGCAAACAAAGCCAGCTTAGCTTATTTCCAAGTTACACATGTGCATCCCTGCCATCAGTAGTAATAATTCAAGTACCTATTACAAACAAGGTAGCTTGCTGGCTTTTCTGGAAACTTGCGCCAACTTTCTTTATCAATTACTGTTGCATGTCATAATTATTTCAGTCCCAGTGTTAGCACTGCCTTTGTTGGACCGGTAAGAACTGGGGGCCTGGGTGCCAGAACAGCTGGCTACAGTACAATCTCTGGTACTGGAAATACTGGAACTGTGTTTGGACTTCGAGAATCGAGTGCACAGACAGATGACTTAAGAAGAAAATTAAAAATGGTAAGCTATAGAAATTCAAGAACAAAATTAGCAAATTAAATCTCTAATAATTACTTAAGCTAAAACTGCATTGACTTCATAATTAAGCATAATTATTTGCATAATTGTAATTTAGAGAGATAGTACATGTATGGGAAACCAAAGAAAATTTAGAATCTTTTTGTTTGACCTTAAGATCTTATGACTCATTTTGTGGAGTCTCAAGCATGTCAGATTTTTAAGCATCGTAACTGGAAAGTCCTATAATTTTCAAGCAAGGTTTCAGCATCTGGCAAGTCTCACAGCCTCCCTTTGATGTGGTAATATTGTTATTTCAATCTACAAGAACCAAAGCTAATGCTCAAGCTTCATTGACATAAATTACAGACAACAGAACTTTGTGCAAAACAAGATGCCTATTACCGAGAAGTGGTCAGTGAACTGGAGAATCGACTCAAGGAGACCATAGCAGGGAGGGATCATGTCCTTGCTCTCAGGTATACAAGCATTTGACTGTGTGGTACGTTGTTCAAAAGGTTGATATAGGGAAATCCAATAGATAAATCTCTATCCAGTGGATAACTCAATAGGATTCCCTAATACTTATCCACTGGATAGTGATTTTAATGTTAGTTAGATTAAGTGCTATCTTCTCCCAACTACCTCTGTAGGAAATGAATAGGGGCAACAAATGAGAATTCAAATTCCAGTGGATAACTCAATAGGTTTCCCCTAATACTTGTCCACTGGATAGTGATTTTAATGTTTGTTAGATTAAGTGCTATCTTCTCCCAACTACCTCTGTAGGAAATGAATAGGGGCAACAAATGAGAATTCAAATTCCAGTGGATAACTCAATAGGTTTCCCCTAATACTTATCCACTGGATAGTGATTTTAATGTTTGTTAGATTAAGTGCTATCTTCTCCCAACTACCTCTGTAGGAAATGAATATGGACAACAAATGAGAATTCAAATTCCAGTGGATAACTCAATAGGATTCTATGCTACGCCAAACGTGACAAAATATCAAAGATGTAACTTTATAATTCAAATCCACCAAATTACTATCAAGATCGATAAAATTAACATCAATTTGCTTTTTGAATGTGTCAAGATTGTAGAATTTAATTTCAATTCCCACGTGTTTCATGTCATGTATCAAGAGACACGTTTTCTAAATCAAGATGCATGTTTTTTAAATCAAGAAGGGAGACGATAATTTTTGATCAGTTTTGTTTCCGAGAGGGACTGAAACCGAGCACACAGGTTGGAAATCAAGGTTCAAAAGGTCTAAAAGTATTGATGGGCCTGCACGACTCCTGCAGTTCGCAAATAGATTGGTCTTAAAACCTTTATAGTTTAGCTCCTACTTGAGTGTCTTTTACGGATTTTCCTTTGCGATATGAAATGAGGGGAGGTTCCTTAAAGATGTTTCTGAGATATGGTTGGTTCTGTATAAGGTGCCATTTCCCCATGAGTATGTTCTTGAGGTTGGGCAACGCAGGGTGGTATTGCGTTACAAAGGGTAGTATTTTCTTACTTGCATTTTTGTTTCTCTGTTCTAGTGCTTTCTTTCTGTCTGCGAAAATGACCTCTGAGAGATGTTTTTGTACAGTTGTAGCTGGGTAATCTCTATTCTTGAGGCGTGTTGAAAAATTCCTCATGTTCTCTTCAAAAGTGATTTCAGAGGAATTTGTTCCTAGAAGCCCTTTGATGAAGCCTTTTTGTGACGCCTGGTGGGTGACACGAATACAAATGTATTGGAATGTTTCTGTAGGCTTGAAGTGTGTTCGCACGTCAAGGATAGAATCCTTGTTGAATCTGACACCTTTGTACCTTTCGTATCCAAGAATGTAGTCTCTGTTTCTGAAATTTCAGCCGTGATAGAATTTGATTGTAGGATGGAAGTTGTTTGCCTGTAGAAGGAATTCTTCTATTTCGTTTCTGCTTGTGTCCCATACTAATATGACGTCATCGATATAAACCTTTTCCAAAAGATGGGCTTAATGCTGCTCTGTCTGAGTATTTCTTTTTCTATTTTGGCCATGAAGATGTTTGCAATTCCAAAGGCTACGGCCATTTTCGTGTCCATGGCTGTTCCATGGGTTTGAAGATAATCTTTCAAGTTAAATTGGACCGCGTCAGTTTCTTGTAGTATCAGACTAAGCATTTAGGAACTGGAGGGTTTCCTTGGTGAAATTCTTCGTATGCAAGGCATACAGTGGTAATACCCTCTCGTTGTGTGTTTTTTTTTTTGTATTGTGACGTCCATTGAAACATGTATGGCACTTTAAGCAGTTTAATCCTCTCGATCAAGTTAATAAAGTCTGTCGTATCTTTAAGATACGAAGCTTGTAGTTGTGCTATTGGCTGAATAAGGTGGTCAACAAATGCTGAGATCCGTTCTGTAGGTCCGTAACACCCTGATATAATAGGTCTTCCGACAGGTGTCGGTTTGTGGATTTTAGTAAGTGTGTAAAACACGAGGATTCGCGGAGGATAGGGCGTAAGGGAGAGCCATTTAGCCGTCGTTTTATCAACGTGGCCTTCTGAGAGCAGCAGTGTTTTAATAAGTGGTTGAGCTTTTTTGGTTGTAGTTTCAACCATTGGTTTGTCTAGAGGTCGGTAGTTATTTAAATCATCAAGCAGAATCTGACCTTCGTTAGTTTGTCCTGTCTGCTCATCAATACGGTGGTGTTTACCTTTATCAGATTTCTTAAGAATAATGCTTTTGATGCGCGATAACTCTTTGACAGCTTGGCGCTCTCCCGTAGATATATTATCTTTTGGCTTGTCAAATTCAATACTTGCGAGCTCTAATTTTACCTCCTCTAGGAAGGTCTCCAGAGCTACAGATAGCTGGACTGGTGGTTCACAGTCCGACTTCACATGGAAAGGATAAGGTTCGTTTTCTTCCTCGTGAAAAATATATTATAGTCGCATTCGTCTCGCAAATTGATTGAAATCAGCGAGAAGCTGGCGCCTGATAAGATTTTCTTTTGTCATGGGTGTAGGGATAAACTTTAGACCACGCGATAGTAGAGTAATTTGCTTATCTGTCAGTTGTTCATTTGACAGCTTTTTGATATACTGTTTGCGTGACTCAATGGCGTTAAAAAAGCGCTTTTTGTCTTTGATTCTTCTCCGCTCTTTTCTTTTGCGGTTTTTGGCCGCTTTGTTATCTCTGCGGTTTGCTTTCCCTTTCCCGTTACTTCTAAGGAGTCTGATAAGAGACAAGAGTAAGATTCACTTTGTTTATTCGCACACACTTGTGATCTCATTTGTTCTACTGAATACATCGACTTCGCTAATCTTGGTCTTCAATTTACATTGTCATCTTTGTTGACAGTTTTCTTTCTGGCCGGTGATTGCGTTTTCTGGTGAGACGTCTGCTTAGTATTCCTATATTATTCCTTACAGTATTCCTGCAAGATTTATACTGTTCGAGTTTACGAAGCTTGTTTGTTAATCGTTCTGCGCGCCTGTAGTGATATTTCACCAGCGCTTCTACGAGAGCCTGTTCTGCTTTCTTTCTGATCGAGCCTATCTCGTTCTTAAATCGCCGCCTCACTTCTTCGTCAGGTGTTGACTCGTTTGAGATGTGTTAACTCCTTGTGCTGCTCGAATGATTCTTCTGACAAGTTCTTCGATTCCTTCCTCCGCCATGTCGAACGCGGGAGGGCGGGAATGAGCAAGAAAGGGCGGGATTCTTCATGGAGCAGTTCATGGATCATGGCAGATTTTTCGGTTTCAGTCCCTCTCGGAAACAAAACTGATCAAAAATTGTAGTCTCCCTTCTTGATTTTAAAAACATGCATCTTGATTTAGAAAACGTGTCTCTTGATACATGACATGAAACACGTGGGAATTGAAATTAAATTCTACAATCTTGACACATTCAAAAAGCAAATTGGTGTTAATTTTATCGATCTTGATAGTGAATTGGTGGATTTGAATGGTAAAGTTGCATCTTTGATATTTTGTCACGTTTGGCGTAGCATAGGATTCCCTAATACCTATCCACTGGATAGTGATTTTAATGTTTGTTAGATTAAGTGCTATCTTCTCCCAACTAGCTCTGTAGGAAATGAATAGGGACAACAAATGAGAATTCAAATTCCAGTGGATAACTCAATGGGTTTCCCTTATACTTACTTACTTACTGGATAGTGATTTTAATGTACATTAGATTAAGTGCTATCTGATGTTTGAACAACTACAGCCAGAGGTTCAAGTCTTTACTCTAAAATACATGTATACATGGCTAGGGTGAATAATATATAAATCGTTTTTCAGTGGTATCAGCTTCAATCTATGATGGATGGTCCTTTGATTTGACACTGTTTGTAGAGTGATGTACTTGAATAAATTTTTAGCTAGAAACGTGTGTCTGCTTAAAGGAGGTATTTTTTGCTGTTTAATTCATAATCATGGTCTTGACCTTGTCCTCTGACATTAGCCAGTCTACAGTAACATTTACTTGATTATTTCTTTGTATGCATGTCTTTAAAGGGAAAATGAGGCAGCAGGTCAATTGCAATTAATTCATCAACTGGAAGCTTCACTGCGGAAGCAACAGCAGATCATAGAGGAAAAGGATGAGGTATCCCCTCTACAGTGAACATTAGTGCTTAAAGGGTCTGAGTCAAGACTGGCTTGTCAACAATGCCTACAATGCCAATTGCACCTCCTTATTCACTATGGAAATTTTATTGAGAAATTACCCCTTTCAGCCCTAAGAGTGATCAGCTTCAAATTTCTCCTTGTAATATCAATGCTTTGTTAAACAGAGTGGTCATGAGAATTACAGACATGATCACACAAGATGAATTTGCTTGATATTTTATCATCTTCTCCCCACTACTTCTGTAGGAAACAAATGGGGGCAACAAACGAGAATTCAATTTTTGATCTCAGGGTTTAAAGCTTCGTGACAAAAAAATGTGTTTCCCAAGCATTATAAACTTTGAAAAGCTGTAGGTAGGCCAACAAGTTTTTAAGATCTACAATTGCAATCCGTTTCAATCTTCTTCATGTTTTTTTATCGTGCTTCTTTTCTATTTGCTGTGTTGTTATTATTTTGGTACCTTCTTTTTATGTTGTTAGCAGTATCTTTTCATGTTGTAGAGAGTTGGCCGTTGCTGGAGGTTCGACTTTATTTTTTAAAAAAATTTTCACTCGTTTGGTTGCTGTTACCACTGTTTAAATTTTGATAAATTTCATCATACAGCTTCCTTAACAGCTGTGTGTAGATACAAAGGCCAATAAAAAATACACCTCGTGACTTAGCTGTTTTCCTCAGGTTTTAAATTCTACGCAATCTAGTGTCAAAAATCTGGAGGAAGATCTAGTTGCTCACAAGTCGTTCCTGGATAAGATCAGAAGAATAGCTCTAGAGGAAGATAAGAAGAGATTCCGATCAGGCTTAATTACGAGTGCGCTGGAAAACACCCTTGCTGTTGGTCAGTTTGGAGACGCTTTAGTGGAACTGATCCAAAAGTGTCTGTTTGATGATGATAAGGAGAAGAAGGCACTACAATCGACACTAGAAAGGGTAAACAAAAACAAACAAAACAAACCACATAGTGTCCACAGACAAGTCATCCTCTAATAGAGTGTTTTCACACGACGTTACGGCAGCCATATTTGTGTCCAAAAACAATGAAGTGGCGGCCATATTGGTGTCCCAAACCAGTCCTGTGGGAGTTGAACTCTTTTCTTATGCAAACGCTTTCTTTTGTTCCAATAAATGTGCATAGATGTTGGCCACGTGAGTGAAAACACTCTATAAAATTTTCAACTAAGACCAGCAAGAAGTGTCCCCGGGCAAGAAAAAATTAATGTGGAAGTACTTGCCCAAGGGACAAGCTGGAATTCGAGTTTTTCGAGCTCTGTAGGTTGCTTCGAAATTTACAACTTTCCCAGTTTTCTTGGTAATTGGTTTTATCGGAGTTCTACTGTCGATACTGCTACTAGCTTGTGGATTTTGAATCGGAGGCGACTAGTGTTTTTGAAGCGTGTTTTTTGTTTCTATGGAAAGGTTGAAGCAGAATTAAAAAGCAATAAAGAACTCAGTGACAACAAGCTAGAGGAACTACAAAAAGAATACAAGGCGAGGTAAAAACCAAGATGTCATCATTATAATATTTCCCCCAAATAATGTACCGTAAAATTCCGAAAATAAGCCCTGGGGCTTATATTTTTCAAAGGCCCTTTTTGAGGGGCTTATTTTTGGAGGGGCTTATATTCCGTTTCGGAGAGGCTTATCTACGGAGGGAAATTTGCGTTTCAAAATCGATTGGGCTAGCCTTATAGTTGGAGGGAAATTTACCGTTTTTGCTTTGTTTTACTTTGTATTTTAGGGCAATTTCCAAGTACACCCCCCGTAAAATTCCGGAAATAAGCCCCGGGGCTTATATTTTTCAAAGGCCCTTTTTGAGGGGCTTATTTTTGGAGGGGCTTATCTACGGAGGGAAATTTGCGTTTCAAAATCGATTGGGCTAGCCTTATAGTTGGAAGTAAATTTACCGTTTTTGCTTTGTTTTACTTTGTATTTTAGGGCAATTTCCAAGTACAACCCCCCCCTAAAATTCCGGAAATAAGCCCCGGGGCTTATATTTTTCAAAGGCCCTTTTTGAGGGGCTTATTTTTGGAGGGGCTTATCTACGGAGGGAAATTTGCGTTTCAAAATCGATTGGGCTAGCCTTATAGTTGGAAGTAAATTTACCGTTTTTGCTTTGTTTTACTTTGTATTTTGAGGGTAATTTTCCAAGTACAAGCCCTCGGGTGGCATATATTTGGAGGAGCAATTTAACGGAGGGCTTTTTGCGTTACGAGCTTGGGGGGCTTATATTTGTAGGGGCTTATACATGGAGGGCTTATTTTCGGAATTACGGTAATCCCTCTTCAGGAGACACCAGTGCAGTCACTATGCGGGCGTCCTGTAGAGGACTAATCCGCCTTATGGAGAGTCAAAGAAAATGGCTGCAGAGAAGGGCAGGGACCAAATCTGGGTTTCATTTTAAGGAGATGTCCCCCTTATAGGGAGATAAACAAAATGGCTGCAGAGAAGGACAGGGACCAACTCCTGTTGTCCATTTTACAGGGGTGTCCGCCTTGAAGAGAGTCAAAGAAAATGCGTGAAGAATATCATGGACCAATTCTGGGTGTCTATTTTAGGGAAATGCTGATTTTATGAAGGTGTCCGTTTAGTGCGCGTTTATTGACCCGGCTTCAGTTGTTGTAAAAGTGGATAACGCTATCCACTGGATAACGCAATTGGTTAATATTTTCTTGTGTCTAGAATCTCAAAATTGGAAGAGGAGCACAATCAAGCTTTAGAGCTATCTGCCAACAGAGGAGCACTTGTTAGAAAAGAGCTGGAAGCTTTGAAAGAAGAAACGGATAAACTCAAGTATGTGAACTGTCAACAATTCCTCCTTAGCATTTAAATTGTTGTTTGGTAGCCTGTAAACACGAACTATATAATTATATGTCTCTAGTCTCTATTCATGCAATGATATTTGTCTTATTTTTAGGGAACAGCATCAAATTGAAGTCTCAGCCATGGAAAATAAAGTCAAAAGTCTGGAGGTAGAACTGGATAAGACAAGAAAAACGAGTTATGAAACAACGGTACCATTAGAAGCCAAGGTTGGTCTAATTGAAGGAGGGTCTAGTTGCTTTTAAAACGGTTAAAATTATTGGTCTACTCTTTCCAAAAGACTTCCTTCTGAAACCAAAACCACCCTTCTGCAATGTTCACCTCTTCTAGCGGTTTCTTTGCATCGACCACCTCAGCCTTTCTACACAGTCTCTCTCCTGGCAAAGGGTTCCCAGACGATCTGTTGGCGTAACTGGTTATAACGCGATATATGTGATGGATCAATGATGCCCACCCTAGAAAAATGTTTACCTGTCAGAGGCATGCAGTCATCTCTGAACAACTCAGCCCCGGGGGGTACTCCTTGGAATTCTTGGTGGGGGTATGCCGCCCGTTTCTCCAAATCCTGACCCTATTTCAGACCCGAAAATGTAATTTTCCACACCCATTTTCAGACTTGCCTAAGTGCAGACGTGTCCTATTTCCTTTGGAAATAGGGCACGTCTGCATGCAAGCAATTTTCAGACCAGACCTCTTAAATCCACATCCGTTTTCAAAGCTGGCATTTAGGCAGAGATTAAGTCATCAAAACTTACATTAGAGCGCAAACAAAAAAATTCTTCAAATGCATTTCGCAGTGGTTTCGAATTCGCATATTTCTATTAATTTCCTTCGTATTCATTTGGAATTCAACCGATAACTACGTTCATACACTCCCGTAGTTCCCGACTTAAATGGGCAAAGTGTATACCCGTTTTCAGAGCAAAAAGGCCCAAAACTCCTACCCTTCCGGGCGGCACATACTTATATGGATTATATAAGGGAGTACCCCCCAGGACAACTCACAACTTTTTTTATAATCTTAACTGTTTAAACCTCTTAATTTTCCGTAATAATATCTTTAACGATGAAAGCGCAAACAGGGCGCGTGTCACATAAAAGCATGGTACACCTTTGCTTGTGCACCCCTTTCTCCAAATTTACATTACCAGCCACTGTTTCCCATTTCTCAGGACTGCGCATTGCAGTCGTCCCAAGTGTGAGGGTGCAAACAAGGTGGTGGCTTTTGAAACTCCTATTAATATGGCATCTTTCTATAGATCGTTTTCACTGTCACGTAACAAAGAAATGAATTGGAATCCGTCCAGTGGAAGAAGCCAAGAAAATGAAATGTTATAAAAGACTAACATATAAACAATTTGTCCAAGTCTCAGGTCTTTTTGGCCCACAGTTTCTGAGTTATTTGCCGAAACGTTCCACTCACCTTTGTAGAGCTTTGTATGGAGACGACATATATTGGTGTACCGTTTTGGTGCACCAATATAAGGCCGCCGGAAATCAACAAAACCATTTGGAGTTCACTTTTTCTATAAAAGCTCGTTCTTTTCACTCGAGAACTAGCATACGTGTGCTTAAACATATCTTCTAATACTTGAAATGGTTATACTGCTGAAAATCAAGAGGAGAGAAACCATCTATATGTTTGAGGGAAATCAGTTCACCAAGAGTACACTACTTTGAAGAACAGGGATCGCGCTTAGACTGTAAGCACTTAAGGGAAGGCGTGGGGTTTTTGGTCGCATGATTCTAATTGGTACTGTCCACGGTTCTGTTCAAGCTGAAAACTTTATCCGAGACTTTTCTTAAATTTTTTTTTCTGCTTTCCTTCCATAGTGCAAAGAACTAGAATGCTCCGTTAGAGAACTGAAGACTGAACTTCAAGTTGCTAAAGAAGAGCAACAGTCGCTGTTCACTCGACTATCGCAAGAGCAGGCAAATGTGATTACACTGAACGAAAAACTCAGTACAGCAGAAAAATATCGTCTACAATCAGCGGAGAGGACGGAATCTTTATCTAAGGAGTTGACAATTCTTCGAGATAAACACAACGAAGAAACAAACAGTCTACGCGATATTGTTTCGGAAAAGGAACAACTTGTAAAGGAAATTCGCTTAGAGATGACAAAACTTAGAGATCGTGAAGTTGAAAAAGCGATTAATGAAGAAAAGGAAAAGTCAAACACTCGACTTGATGGAATATTGAACGAGTTAACGAAGTCGAATCACAATATGTCTAATCTGACAGCCAATTTGCAAGCTAAGGAAGCTGAATTGTCTAAGCAACATGATGAGAATGTCAAAATGAAAAGTGATTTGCAGCTTAGAACTAAGGAAATGAACCTCATCAGAGAGGAAAAATTGCATTTAGTGGAAGAACTCGAGAAGCGGCGGGTCGAGGTCTCAGATTTGCAAAGGCAATTAGAAGATCTAAAGACCACGCTAGCGTTAAAAGCAAAAGGTTTAGTGGAAGCCGAAAGCTGCGTTGAAAAACTTCACACCCAGCTAAACGAGAGAGAAAAGACAATAGCCAGTTTTCAAGCGCAGGGTACTAATCTAGCGGAGATAATAGAAAGGAACAGCCAAACAGGCGACTCTCTACAGCGAGAAAGAGAGCAGTTGATTCGAACGTTGGAAGAGAGAATCAGCGAAGTCGAAGAAATGAAGAGCCATCGCGAGATTCTAGCCAAGAAGTTAAGGGCTAAAGACAAACGAGTCAAAGAACTGGAAGAGGAAAAAACTTCTACGTCGGACAGTTTAAAAATTAAGCAAGAAGAACTGGATGCTTTGATGGAAGATAGAAGCAACATAATGGCGGAGTTGAAGCTGCGTCAGGTGGAAGTGACAAAGTTGAAAGACGAGAACAGTTCATTGAGTTCACTAGTGGAAGGAAAGCATGGAGAACGAGAGAAAGAAATTAGTAAATTACTATCGCGACTAAAAGGTAAGTCAACTTTCATAAACAAGCCAAAATGCTTAACACTTAACGTATGTAGTCGATAAAACGCCGCGGCGACGGGTTAATTGAATTTTTAGGGTTTCCAATGCGGCGTTTATTCGAGGGCGGGGCGCGCCCCGTGTCTTTCTCGCATATATTTAAAAATTACATTCTCAGTAAATCACTGGCAACAATTCTTTGCGGTAAATCATTTGTAAATATTTATGTAAAACAGAACGATGTTTAAAGTGCCAATGTCTCGCTATTTGCTGAGATAGCATCGTAGTTGTCTGGTTGGCGTAGATTACAAAGTTGTACCGAGATTTTTTCTTATAATCCTCGAATAGACGCCCCTTTTTTTCTGATTGGATGCGGCTTTTATTCAAGGGCGTCGTTTAATCGAGTAAATAGGGAGCTTAAGCAGCGACGTTTTTGAGCGGCGCACGTCAACCGGAAGTGAGCTATTTTCCCTCTTAACATGCCTTGATGATATAAAATTTGTATTCCTTAGCTTCTTTACTGTTATAGAGGCGATTTGACTGAAAATTTGCGCGAAACCACCGTCAAAAAATGAAAAAAGGCCACTTCCGGTTGACGTGCGTCGCTCAAAAACGTTGTTGCTTAAGCTCCCTAATACGGCGCTGGAGCACATCAGTCATGCTTATGTTGACCCAGATGAGTATCCTCTCATCAGTTCCACTGTTTGCAAAAAAAAACAAGAGTTGCAAAATGGAATTGAAACTCTCTCTTGCAGGAGTACTGACGAGGTTTCTTTAAGTAAGTGGAAAAGAAGACCCTTGTTCTTCTTTACTTAAAGGGATAGTGTTATTGCAGTTTAGACCGTTTTTGTTTTCGTTTGTGTTTCTAAAAGCGATTATGAACATATTCCATTGGTGTTCTAGCTGATTAGGACCAGATTTGAAAAAAATCGTTGTAATTTGTTTTCGATTTAATTTTCTAAAGGTTCAGAGCAGGACTTGGCCTTGACACGAAAACTTCTTAAAACAAAGGGCGACATGAGTGGCAAAGGTAAACCATCTTCCGTTATTTATTAACTTAGAGCACTGCACTGCAGCGCTAACGCAGAGGCCATGGCTTCGAATCCCGTTAAAGTCCCGAAAATTTTTTTTCGGGTTGATTTGCAATTGCTTAAATTGCAATTACCACTGCGACGATCATATCTTCAGTTAATATTTGTATTTTAGCAGTTCACTTCATCTTCGAATGTTACAGTATTCTCCCCCGGGGGGGGTACTCGCAGAAAAATTGGGTAGGGGTGTGCGGCCCGCTTCCTAAAACCCTTACCCTATTTATGACCAAAATCTGCGATTTTCCCTACCCTATTTATGACCAAACCAAAAATTTGATACCCTATTTATGACCTGACCCTTAAATCAATACCCTGTTTCAGACCTGCCTTATAATTATTTCTCTAGTTCAGACCAATGTTAAAGGTAATGTTTATCTGCTTTTATTAGGTTAGGGGGACATGATAAGGAAGTAGCTTCTTCTAAAAAAGTGCATTCAAGACTACAGTGTAAAAATCGTTACCCTATTTATGACCAAAATGGCGGCAAAATAGCCAAAATCGATACCCAATTTATGACCAAAACGGCTGAAAAACCCTACCCTTTGGGGCCGCACATACCTATATAGCCCATATTAGGGAGTACCCCCCCCCCCCGGGTATTCTCCCCACATCATTAGGGAGCTTAAGCAACGACGACGGCAACGGCCACGGAAAACGTCACTTAAAATGTGAATTTGCGCTGCCTCAAACTTTACTGCGCTTATTCCATCTCGTTTAATTCGTCAAATGTTGGCAAATTTTTTTGGAGTTGAATTCTAAAGGACTGTATCAAAGTTTAGGAAAAGAAAAGGAAAGTTGTTGTCTGGTGTTCCCGTCCTCGACAAAACGTGAAATTAGGCACTTTCACGTTGTAGTCGTGCAACGACGGTAAAGAAATGTACAAAAAAGGGTGATTTTGCCAATCTAAACCTATTACGTTATTGACGTTCTCTTTGACGTCGCCGTCGTCGTTGCTTAAGTTCCCTATTGATCCTGGCAACGCAACACAGGGTATTTTCACATGACCTTGGGGTGACCAAATTGGTTTTTCTTTTTTTTTTGGAATTTGCAGATTTTTTGTCTCCCTTACAGCTTTCAGGTCGAAAATTCGAGGAATATTTTTGCCCAGAAGGGTATCGCTCAGGATTTTGTAGAAAAAAATTATCCATACATAAAAAGAAAATGCGGTTGAAAAGATTTTGGTTTCACTAAAACTGTTCGAGGTGGAAAAGTAATATGTCTACCCATAAAGGTATTGCTCAGGGTTTCGCGGAAGAAGTAGCCATATATATATATATATATATAAAAATAATAATGCCATCATACTGTGTTGGAGTAATTGGCCTCCATTAGTGGTCACATAAAAGTCTGAGCTCCATTGAAATCTCTTACTTATCGTACCCTCTTTTAAGGTGGATTTCCACTGTGGCGTTATATTATCGTGCGTACACGCGTAAAATTCACTTGCGTAAATAGAATAGTATGAAACGTTACGCTTAGAGGAAATAGTTGAAGCAAGGTTCAATTTGAACTTTTACGTTTACATGCGACCTTTCATACATTGCCCCCATTATATTTCCCGCACCCTTAGTTGACTTTTTGTGCATGCGATAGCACGGATTGAAATTCTTTTGTTTTTGCAGCTGTTCGAGTAGCAGAGTCCATGCAGCAAGAAGTGACAGCGAAACGCGGCGAACTAGACGCTTTACAAAACAAGTTAGTGTTCAGTCTGGCTGTACGTGTATACTTTGTCGAATTATGGACTTTCTTTATCATGCCAAGACTATAATCATGTGCAGAGATCAAAACATGCCTACATTTTATAGAATCACTGTTATCAGTAGCTGGACAAACTTCTGTCTAAAAAAATGACTCTAAGATATATCAGAAACCCCTTCATATACTTCACATCTCTTACAAAGCCGCTACGTAAGAAACCGTAAACGTGAAACTCATGATATAAGAACCCCTGAAAGTAAGAACCCTTGGCTCTAACTATCCCTGGACGTAAGAACACTTGAATGTAAGAACCCCTCTAGATTTACAAGTCTCTGGATATAAGAACCCCTGAACGTAAGAAACCCTGAACCTAACAATCCCTAAACATTACAAACTCTGGATGTAAGGACCACTGAACGTGAGAATCCTTCCTGAACGTAAGACCGCTAAACGTAAAACCCCTTGATGTAAGACCCCTGCTCGTAGGATCCCTGCTCGTAAAACCCCTGAACGTAAGGACTCGTGCTCGTAAGACCCCTTGATGTAAGACCCTTGGTCGTAAGACCCCTGAAAGAAAGACTTCTGGATCCTGGACGTAAGACCTCTAAACGTAAGACCCCTAACCACAAGACCCCTGGATGTAAGATCACTAATCGTAAGGCCCCTGGATGAACGACGTATGGTCGTAAGAGCCCTGGTCGTAATGACCCTGAACGTAAGACGCCTGATCGTAAAACCTCTAAACGTAAGACCCTGGATGTAAGACCCCTGAACGTAAGACCCCTGATCGTAAGACCCCTGAACATAAAACCCCTGAACGTAAGACCCCTGATCGTAAAACCCCTGAATATAAGACTCCTGGATGTAAGATCCCTGGTCGTGAGACACCCAAACATAAGACCCCAGGATGTAAGACCCATTCATGTAAGATTCCTCGACGTAAGTCTTCTAAACGTAAGATCCCTGGTTGTAAGACCGCTGATCGTGAGACCCCCGATCATAACACCCCTGGATGTAAGACCCCTGGTCGAAACACCCCCGGACGTTAGGCCCCTGCTCGTAAGACCCCTGCCTGTAATACTCCTGGGCGATAGGCCTCTGCCTGTAAGATCTCTGGATGTAAGACCCTTGGTCGAAACACCCCAGAATGTAGGACCCCTGCTCGTAAGACCCCTGCCTGTAACACCCCTGGATGTAAGACCCCCTGAATGTAATGCCTAAAATTTCCTATTGCTTGAGGACGGCTACAAATCTCAAAATGACCGTTCCATTCATGTACAGTTTCAAAACTTATCTAATAAATTCGGTACGATTTTCTGAGGGTTAATTTTTTACATTTCACTCCCAAGTAATGTTGTTTTCGCAGAGAAAGGAAACCTAAAATTTTCGGATTCAAAAATATGATTGAGATAGGAGTCAGAAAAATTCTCACATTCGGAAAACGATCGAAAGTTTTCGGTAATTTCGAAAAGACTCAAAGTCCCCTAGGATGACCAAGAGATACAAATTTTATAGCGCCGCTTAGAATGTATTTCTAGTGATGCAAAAGTACTCTGGATAGCCTAAAAAGTGTTTTCAACGTATTTAGGAGGAAATCGTCGTTAGGTGCCCCTGTTATAAGCTTCTTAATTTGCTTTCACCGGCTAACATTCGTTGTTTACTCTTGATTTCCAGAGTCCATTGGCTGACCGAAAGTCTTAACACAGCTGCCAAGGTATGGAAACTTCATTTTAAAACCCCAAAAATGTTTCCTTTGAACGAGTCATTCATAAGCTTTTTCTGAACAGTCAGAGCAAACGTGCCAATTATTGTAGAGCCTGTGTGATGTTCGAGAGAAAACTGAATCGCCTTTTACAGGGACCTGGAGACCAGGGTAGATAGTAGGTCAGAAAAAAATTCGCCCTCACTTATAAGCAATTTACTGACCCCGGAGACTAGGTTACTCGAAACTACCCACCTGAAGTTTCGAGTAACCCCAACGGGGCTGCTGGACTTGGCAACACGCCTCGGCGTGTCACCCAACCTCTCATAGAAAAGAAATGAAGTTCTGAAAAGAATGTAGAAATAACGGGTTACCTTCCTTAATCCTTATCCTCGACCACCAAATAGGCACATAACTATAGTTACCAACGGCGTCAGTTAATTCAGCCGGATCCATAAGTGAAGGTTATAGTTGTGGTTTTTCTGTGACATTTTCAGGACGCTCGATATTATGAGAAAACGAGCAGTGAATTATCCGAGACTGTGAAGGAATTGACAGTCGACCGAGATCAACTGGAATTTGAGCTAAAGAAGTCCCGACAGCAATGTGATGGATATAAAAAACAGTTGAACCACATGGAACAAGCGCTCGAAAAGGTATCATACATTTCCTACGTCATTTCTTTACAGAACCGCAACGTCACTCCAGAAAGTTGATTTTGAATTTGACTTTTTGCTTGAATGCATCGTCACACCTAAAACCCCCCAAACCTTTTTTAAGAAACATTGTAACTTTGGTAATTCTTATTTTGCTAAATACAAGTAGACAACAATGACTTAATTCTATAATCTCTTTTTTGTTGTTGTATGATAAAATATTTCTTTTAAAAATTCTGTGAATGGTTTGAACCCAGGAGTCATTTCATATAAGAAGATGGAATATGATCGTCCTGGAGTGTAGTCCAGAATAGGACTGTTGTTAACAGTGACTGGTGTTTCTACAACCTGTGTCACTGTGGTAGTCATCTTTAGGTCCAAAAACACTTATAAAGTACCTTTAATTTCGTTTGTTCTAGATGTGCGTTCCCAAGACAAGTTGAAACCTTTTGAGAACCAATTAAAACATCACATTGTCTTTAAACATTTGTATTTGGGCACGCCCTAGAAAATATCAGTCTCTTGGGTGATGAGTTTCCCTCAATGAGTGGCCAAAGCGGCCGACAGGAGGTACCGTAAAATTCCGAAAATGAGCCCCTCCAAATATAAGCCCCCCAAACCGGTAACGCAAAAAACCCTCTGTTAAATCTCCCCTCCAAATATAAGCCACCCGGGGGCTTGTACTTGGAAAATTGCCCTCAAAATACAAAGTAAAACAAAGCAAAAACGGTAAATTTACTTCCAAATATAAGGCTAGCCCAATCGATTTTGAAACGCAAATTTCCCTCCGTAGATAAGCCCCTCAAAAAGGGCCTCTGAAAAATATAAGCCCCGGGGCTTATTTTCGGAATTTTACGGTAGTTATGTCTTGGGTTTGAATTCTATTAGAGACCTGCGTTTTGTCGTCGTTACGCATTCGTGACAAGGTTGATATTAGCATTTCTTCTTTCCCATTGTTATTGTTTTTCTTCTTTATTATAGGCGGCTTTAAAACATGCAGAATCGCAAGGTGTCATAGAGAAGATGGAACAAGAAACAGCAAGACTGAAGCTGAAACACTCCCTTGAAATCAAGGTAAATGGCAATTGAAACTTTCAGCTTTGGTAAATTCGTTACATTGTGTTAATATATATTGTCTTTTAACCAAGGAAATTGAGAGGACCGCGAAAGCTCCTGTTTCCGTTAGACCAGACGCTGCCTCTTTAGTCGAGCTCTTGACGAAACTTAATTCCGGATTCAGGTAACTTTAATACGAACCAACAGAACTTGAGACATTTGGCGGCAGGGTGTTCATTTGGCATCGGAGATCGGAGAATTCTCCGTTTACTACGCTGAATTCTCCGGCTAACGATTAATAGCGTATGACTATTTTCACGCTGATGTAGACCTCTTTCAAAATATTCTCCTGTAACGTTACACCTTTCTCCTGCTACTAGAATTCTTAGTGAAAACCCTCGGTTTGGGGGAAACCTTTTAAAGTAGTTATTACTTTCGGCTTTGCTACCCAAACAAAAACTTGCTATACATGGGGTTCATGTCTTAATACCGCACCTCCCCTTGGCAATGTTGGTCCCAAAAAAGAACTGGTCTGCACCCATCTTCTTCGAAATTCAGCACTGATTGGCGGAGAGTAGAAGTGGATTGTGTTATCATAATGAGGCACCTCGCAACTGTATAAAAAGCCTCACAGGATTTGTTGTAAAAACAATGATCGAACAAAGTTGGAACAATGAAACCTAACCCTAAAAGAAAATAGCTGCCATATCTAGGGGTCCAATAAGAATTAGAGTTTTTGTCGAGTTGCGCCTGAACTTGTAATATCCTCTATAACATGCTATATATCAGATGGAGAAAGGAAAAAGTTTTGACCTTGTGCTATTGGTTTGTTCTTTCTTTCTTTTGCCAGGTGGCCGCCCCTAACTACCCAAGGGAACTACGGTACCGTTTATATGACTGCTAAAGACAATCCTACTCTTCTTACCCCGGCCCCGAGCTGTTCGCAGCCAATGATAGCGGAGCTGGAGACAAGACAACTTCCACAGAGTGCACAATCTGTCGAGGTGAGACTGGTCTAGTCTACCTGTCCTTCCATGATGAGTAAACTATGCAACTGATCATTTATTCATCCATTATAATAGAGAGATAATAGAGTCACGCGACAAACGTGAATTTGTGCCACGTGACCATGTTTACCCCTAACCCTTCTTTAACTGTTCTCTACGCCTACTGCGTGAATACCTGTTGTAATAAAAATACCCCTAAATACGTTTCCATGTGTAAAGTTTTCGGGTAGACAGTATTTTGAAATGGAGAGTTTATATCAAATTGA